AATTCGTATTAAAAAATTCAAATCAAACAGTGTCTTGACTACCGGTACCATCCTCCACCTACACTGTCGCCATCCTCTACAGTCTACACTGAAGCCTTTTTAATATAAAAGGAGATCTATAATAATTAGCGGTTCGAAAATAGAAATGTACATTCAAAGCGGCAGAACTTTACACTTTTATCTGTAACTGACTCCAAACTTAAGAACAATGTGAAAAGTTAGCACGTCCGTCAACGACGACAAGGTTATGAAATTTTAATGACAAAAGTCGCCCATAATGGATTTATAGGTTATTCGATTTCACTACGGGGAAGTATACATCACGAGGTCAAAATAATGAAAACTAAACCGTGTGACGTATGCGTTAACGTTTGCTGAAGATAAAATATCGAATTTTTTTGTTTTTCTGGTGAATATCTGTGTTTTGATAAGAGAAAAATTGAGCGTATTCGAAAGTAAGCAAATTGACTGTTGTGTGACTGAAATACGTTTTATTTCTTACCGGTCATTCATCAAATTGTCACATTACTTTTTCGTTTAGCCACCTTTGATTTCTCGTAAGTGCCGGACACATGATGTACTTTTATATTTGCTATATTTCAACTACGAACATTATTTCATTGGGCCGCATGCAGTCAACCATGCGCACGAAGGGTTTGGCCGTTCCGAATCTCGGAATTCTGCTTCTGCTTGGATAATCCTATAACTAAACTATCACATGCAGATTGTGTAAATTAAAAATCTTACTACTGATCTAACTTGTTCATCTGCAAAATATCAAGTTTTACAAACTTTCCTAATATTGATTACACATTTGCTCAAAATTTGGCAAAATGAAGACATTAGATGCACCGATAATTTTACTTCTTTCTGTCGAAATGTATATATGTCGCGACGAGAGAGAGATTTTGCGATGCGGGTTTTGTATATCAAACATACAGACAAGAGTTGAAAAGTTTGAATTGTGATCGATCTTCGTATCTGCTCCAGTTCAGATAAAACTTAATATTGTAATACATTTTCTTCTTTTCTAACTCAATCTCTTATACGGAATTTTGGTATATAGGAACTGTATTACAAATTTTGTGCCAATATTGTAAATGGCATTGAGTAAACAATCTACACAGTGACATTATGGTATATTTCAACAATATACACTAAGGTAGTATGCACATCAAACACTAATGAATAATGACAGTCTTAAACTTCATACTCCCAGAGGCTTGGGCTTCGAATGATTGAAAGTTAGACAATTAGCTCAATTGATAGACATTTCATTCGGATTTCTTGACCATCGTTACTGTTTAAAATTTAAGATCAAATATAATAGATACACAAAATATTAGTACACGCATTTGAAAAACTAGTAAAAAAAGTCCATTACTATCGTATATAAATATCGTTACACTTCATCGTCTCACCAATCCAGGCTAACCAATTGCGAACTTGTGTAACAATCATTTCTCCCCTTGTGACTCGAAAGTATCCGAGTATTTTTGTTTCAATAATAAGGCAATGATGATTTCACTTCTTAAAAGTTCATCGGAATGTTTTTCAACTTCGGTCTCAGGTCAACCCTTGAGATGATTCAAGTCTTCTTGAGATTTCGCCACCACGCTCCTAATTATCCCCTTCAATAGGTTTTTTGTCTGCATTGGCGTGCTCCCAAATGCGAACATCATAACATGCTCGATCCATGGTATATACCTTCTCAGTTTAATCTATGTTCAAGCTTGATGGAACTTGATAAGATTGGGATTTCTGAAGAAGCTTTAACAATCTTTTTAAGTTTTACCTCTCCATTTGATAAATTTGCCACTTTTTGGTAACAAATTCATGGAGTACTCGCGTTAATTGGGTGAGAGAAAACACAACAAAAACGAAATAAAATATTTGCGAACGTGACGTTTCATGAAAAATGTTGAAATCCAGTATTTGGTTACAACTAGAAATCAAATCTATCAATTTAAATTGAAAAATATACATTGCAAAGATTTCAGTGTTTGCGTAAAACAGTCGGCGAAAAAGAAGAAGTATCACGACGCGGGTACTTTTTATTCACTTTTTCTATTCGGAAAATACTTTTTCTATTGAAGTACACACCCTGCCGTTTTAGATTTAGTATGTAGATATTGACCACTTAACGACGACGTTGCCACACAATTAATTCATTTTATGGTAAATTTTCGCATAGAATTACACACCAAAAAACAAAGATACCCTCACTCTGTCATAAGAATGGCAGGCTAGTTATTTTAACATAATTTACTAATGGATAACGTGATTTTGTTTCTTCATCCATTCCTATAAATCTGCTTTAAATAAGTACGAATGCTCCTAGATTAATGCTCGCAAGTACATTGACGTTTTCTAATGAAATTATCAGTAAAATACTTTATAAAATGCACTGTCTTTTCTGAAAGTATAGTACTTGATATTGTTCCAATAAGGTAAAATAGCCTACGTGCATCATTTATATAAAGAGAATGTCAAAATGTACAAAACTCTTCAGCCCTCGCCTTGAACGTGGTAAAAGGTTTTTGGAATTTTATCAGACACATCGACATCCATCTTGTTTGATTTATCTCAACTTAACAAAAAACTTCTATACACTACACAAAAATTAGCCTAAAATCTAAGCCTCAGATTAGACTTTCGATCGAAGTTGAAGCAAATGGACATTTTTGGCGCTGTCGAGATTTCCCAAACAAAGTTAACGATCGATTGATGGACTTGCTCTTGTCAGGAAATCACTGTTTTCCCCCACGCATGAATCATGAATACATCAGTTATTAGTTGTGAGGTACATGCATGGCAACTGCTTGAATATGATATTGTGATAAATAATAGCCAACTCCTAATCTTTACTACAAACCTTTAGACACTGATGAATTTTTAAAAGCATGCAAATTTTATTGATACGAAATCGAAAAGTGGAAACATGACAATGTGTTGAAATAAACTTCAAGGTTTCTCTTCTTGTAATTTATTTAGCAATATTGTAATTCTAACTTGAGTTGAGTGAAGGATAGCGTATTTTAGGAAGACACGGGCTCAATGAAGCTTTTGCGCTGAGAGTTTTATCGAAAACTATTTCTGTACGGAATTCGATAAATTCAAAAAATGTTCTGACCAGCTTGGTAATGTCTCTCACATTTCATCATGTTAATTGTACCTCAGGGTACGTCTATATTTAATTAGTTTTTACTACTGATAAGTTCCACTGATCTTGCCAAATATTTACTGACGCAATTCGGAAAGCATTTTCTACCTATCGCTACATTCTATTAATGACAAAATTAGTACTGTACTATAGGAATTACCTTCCATCCTACCTGCCTCTCAATAGAACAGGTGATTCTTGCGGATCACAGGCCAGAATTTCTGTTTCGAAAAGCTTTGCCTTAATGAGTGAAGAGTTAAAATAAGAAGTGTTGGTAAAAAGTGGCAATGTTGTTTGTTGTAAAATTGAAAAAATATTCCATGAAAACCGCTTCAAATGTGATTAATAAATCGAACGGTCCCCAGCGAGATAAATAATGGGAAGAAAGCAGCATTCTCTAACGTACGTCATTTATCTCTCAAAATATGTGAGAAAACCAAACTCTCAGCCAAACTCAGTTGTCAAGCAACTATGGGTGTGGTGCGCCAACACATTCTAATACGCGGAAACGTATACTATTATAAATATTCACGACAACTCGATTATAAAAACGAAATTAATATGTATATATATATATATATATATATATAGTTGGTATTTCTGCGATGAAATGCGTTCTATTTTGTCTTATTTTATATCAGCCATTCAGCGGTCGGCTGACTAATGTCTTGACGCATTTTTAATTTCACTGAATTTCTCATCTGATTTTCTTCGTGCGACCGATTGAACGCCTCATTAAAAATGGATGAGAAATACCAGGTAATAAATGGCTACTGACAAACTTTTCACATTTCTCCTCAAAAATTTGTTTGATAAATTGTGATTGGGTTGAGCTGGACCACATATTTGAAAACTTTAGCCCACAATGGACCGTTCCACATCACAAGGGGTGGAACAGAACTGGACCAACATTCTTTAACAAGCTACAGAAGCATTATTAATTTTTAACTTCGTTATGAATGTTATTGATTAGCAAAGTAATTATCTAACAGAGTTTCTATTGTAATACATTAGATAACAATTGGTTAAACTCGGCTCGGGTACTGTTCTTAAGACGAGTCATTGATAATATACCTGTGCTAATCCCAGTAAAACAAGGCAAGCAAATACATGCCTTCACATCGGTACAAACAAAAGTAAAGAGAATGCAAATTCAGAACAGAAAGAGACATTCAACTGCATGTTCTGATTTCCATATTGTTATAAAAATAAGAATACGGGATTCGTGAATTTAAAACTCGTAGATCGTTGTGCAGGAGAGCATTATGGCACTGGTATATGTACGTCGTTAGGACTGGTTACTGAAAAACTCTTAAAATTTATATCACGCCCCAGTTATACGCCTCAACATATTCTATGAAGTAGGTGGGAGAAGAATTTACCTTATATCATGTAGTTTAAAAGCCATAATTTTAATATAGGGTAATTGCTGAGTGGGGGAAACGTCGACTCTGCGTCCTAGTACCAAACGGAAAATAAATAACTTTTCTGCTGCATTATTTAAAGTATCGGAATTGTATTTCGACCAACGTAAGCTCGTCTGAGCCTTTCTTATTTACGGGAAGTGATGTAATCATTTATAAAAATTTTACAAAAAATAGCGTCCAAAACCCGAGGATCAACGTACCAATTCCAAAAGAACGAAGTTGAATATACGATTAGATTATATCATAGTCTTGATATCACATTTTGCACTATTAATTTCCTATTTTCAAAAAAATTCAAATGATCATTGCCATTCCTCAACTTTCACTAGTTCGTGGACAGCTGTCCACTGAAACACCATCACAAACCCCACAGAATTATTGGTATTTGAACCTATTCGGCAAACAGCATGTTTCAAATATAAATAAAATGTATTGTGAACTGTAAAGTAAATAGTACTACAATGTTCTAATAATCTAATTGAATGACATTTGATTGACGGACAACATACTGCAACAAGTCTAGTTACAAAAAATTCCTCATTTCCAATTTTGATTAGACGTGTCCTGAAATTGAGCCTCTATGACATGTAATTACTTTTATAATTACATGGTTTTTCCTGATTTTTCTTTCAATTTTCTATTCAAAAGCATTGTATATAATGTCACAGCAGCTTTTCCATTTGAACACATTTTCTTCCATAATTCTGGTTGGTCTTGACTTAAACTTGATATCACCTACAAAATTTAAAAATACATTGATACCAGTGGGCCCCGGTTAAACACAAAAAACTAGGGACGATATAAACAAAGCATACTACGTCTATTTCGGGAGAAGTGAGAAATCAGTTGGGAAATACGAAGATACGATTACATATCAAATCCATTTATCTCGACGCTAGTTAGACCAAATAAATTACTTGGTTATATTTAATAAAAATTGATAACGATATTCATAAAATTGTTTTCTGAACACGAAAGTAATTAATTTCACACATTTATGTGTGACACATGTCACACATTTATGTGTGAAATTTGTAGTCATTATTGAAATCAATGAACCACAATATACTAAGAACTGAGACATTAACCTTTTCTGGGATAAATTGAAGTTTTGTTGACTCATCTGTTTCTAGTCCTCCTTTACTATATTGGTGAAGTATTTCATCGCTTGTCATGTGACATCTGTGAGACATAAACATGGAATATATAAAGTAAAATAAAAATCATAAAAACGGAATTGACTCAGAGAAGTTGCGAAAGAAGTGGCGAACGACTGGGCAAGTCATTTACACGGAGACACTTTGTTGCTGAATAACAACGGCAGATATGGCGAAGTCACAACTCAATATGAAATATAACTTAAAAGTACACTTTTATAAATAGAGCGACAACAGATTCGAAATAAATCACAGCAATGCGGAGAGCCACATTGATCCATAGAAAATTGGATGACGCATTACAGACAACTGGTGGCTAGAATACGTTTCAATGACTACAGAAAAATAAAACAACATAGTGCTGACCAACATGGCCAATAATTGTTCCTAAATAGCCTGCCTAGTATCAAGCCGTTGTCCACAATACTATTATTTGAGGTCTCCGAGTGGTAATTTCAAGATTTACCTATCTAAATATAAAATTCTAAATATTTCAATGTGACGAAATAATATCTTATCAATGAAGTAGCATGCAATTATGCTATATTGCATATGGGTGTGTAAAGAATAGTAGCAGACCACGTGTAAAGACTGTTGGAGCAAGTAGCGTATTTCACCAAACTGGGAAGCAGCATAGATGGACATTGGATTTTAAAAAATCAATAGTTGTAGACTTTATATCACTACTTTGCGTTGAAAAACTATTCTGGTATTGCTGTGTGGTAAAATTAACAGTTTTTGATTCATCGAAATTTATATTCAGTTTATCAGCCGTCATTTAACATTCCCCGTTTTCAATTTCAGTGTTCATTGTATCGATGACAAATATTAAGAAGAAGATTAGCCCCAAGCAAGATCCCTGTGGAACCTCAGCAAGATCTGTCACCAAGGTCTCTGTTTGTGATATAATTGAGCCGCATTACCGTATTTCCTCCTTCTAAAGCTAAATCTGAAAATATTATCTTTAGTGCAAAGAATTTTAAGTCGCATCCAATGTATAAATTTTAAAAATAATCATTATGAAGGTGACAGACAACCTTAGCAATTTTTATAGACATAGATAATTGCAAGCACTGCCAACTCAAATGTCAATATGAAAGCAATATACGTGCATAAAAGGATAATCATAATGTATATACTGAGACAAACAAACAAAAGTACACTAGGAGCTAGAAATTTTTGTCTTAAAATAAGTCAAATATAAAATAACCTCATATTATAGTAGGCGACTGGTCGTCCTGCACTCAGATTATTACGAATTATTCCTGTTAATACTGGGTTCGAAACTTTTTCTATTGGAACATTCAACTGAAAACAGAAAGATAGAAAAACTGAAATGATAAAATAATCTTGATCTTGGTGTAAACTGTAAAGGAAGGAATGTGCCACTGGATTGATTTAACAAAAATTCTTTAATGCAATCCCAAGGAATAGAAAAAAATAAAAATACAGATAATGGCAAAAATCATTCTGAACTATTACCCAACTTTTTAATATCGATTTGGCAAAAAGAACTTCTAGATAATACAAATAAAGCCATTGAGGGAAAAATTTGTATACTTTTACCTCATCACGAACTTCTTTCATTTGGGAATAGAATATTTCATGTACAGTGTTATCGGGATGTAAATTATTGAAGGTAACAAACTTCTTTGAATCAGTAAAACCAGCGGCATCCTGTGCGTGAATTAAAAGATATGCAATGGTAAAAAAAATTATCCATTTGTATTTTCGAAACATAGAATACTCCTATTTTTCAATTTGTGGAAATACCTTGCCCTGCCCAGGTATACTGTAATATTATGCTCATTTAGGCAAGTGAAAAAAACATTTGAATAAAAAAAGTGAGTCACATGCTTTCAAATAATTACTCTTCCAAGCCAGGTATGAAAAGAGATAACCTCCAAAATAATACAAATGGACACAATAACTGATAGATATAATTTAAGAAATTGTATTTAATAAATTACTGAGGCGCGGCGGTGTGACTCAACGGGCTAAGCGATAGGAATACGCTCGCCACCGCACCTCTAATGACTCTGCGTGGGTTCGCAGGTTCGAATCCCATGCAGGGATGGTTATGTGCGAAAGGATTGCTGGACTCCTCGCCGTCGTTGGGTGGTTCACGTAACCGCTGGTCGGTTACGGCTTCCTCCACCACCAAGTCCATGCTTCCGAAAACAAACAATACAGTAAAAAACTAATCCCATACCCGACTTGGAATGGTAACCGGACGAGAGGCCGTGGTTCGCCATATGGATAAGCCGTCTTATCGGCTTTCCTCTCCCCCGGGATAAATATGTAAATCCTATCCTATCCTATCTTACTATAACATCACCGGAAAGCTTTTATATTCAAATAACGACAGTGAACAAGGTAAATGAGCCTCTTGTGAAAGGGAATGATTTATTCCGAACAAGAATAAAATAGAGTTTTGCCTAATGGATGTATGTGTCGTGTATTCCTATTATGATGAAAGCTTAGTTTCAGTTACAAATATTTCAAACAATCATAAACAATACTTACAGTTGGCTCTGGGTGCCCACCAGGAACATCTAACATTCCTGGACTTTCAGCCACCCATAAGTTTCTCCATTGAAATACGACTTTATCATCATCTGTTATTACAATAGCAGCTACTCCAAGTGGTTCAGCTAAATAGGCCTAAAAGAGAGTGGCATACCAATGATACCAGTAACTACAGATGTAACAACCATCAAGTAGTACATTACTTAATAAAATATAGAAAACGATTCCTTTAACATAATTAGAAAAATTGGTGGAAAAGGATCCGGCCATAAAAAAACATCCTATAGTGGGTACTGGTGAGGTAAAGCCACTGCTCTACAGATTACAATACGAGCTATATCTGCCTTCTGCCATATGGTAATTAGCAGTGTGATGATAAGGATAACCCTGTGCAATTTTGAGTCAACAGCATATTTTTATTCTCAAATAAAAACTACTACATTTCAAGTATCCATAATCAAATCTCATCTATTACATGTAAGATCTCAAGTTCATTGAGATGCGCAATTCAGATTTCAAGTTCAACTTTTGACAAGATTAAAGTAAAATCAAGTGACACTACAATACATTGTCCATTATTAGGTTATATGAAGTAATGACAATACTGAATACCTGTGAATTATCATAATCTTTGATTCCTTTATCTTGTAACCAATGAACATCTTTTGACCAATTTGTTTCCATATAATCTCTGAAGAAAACAATAAAAATAGGACATTCTATTGGAAGAATATGCAAAGCAAATGAACCTTAATTTGGTTGAAATTTCAAGTTACTTCAATGAAGGAATTCATGACTGTGGGCTGTGGTTATGTATATTTACTGTATCAAAATTTAAAAATAAATTAATCATTAATAATGTATCACAGAACACTATTGTGTTGTATCTTGCAGTCATGAAGTAGTAGGTTGGAAGCAATCATCGGTGTAGGATTTCATAGCTTTGAGACCAAAATGTTCATGGGATACCTGTAGCAAGTAAGTCCTAAATTGAATGTAAACTGTGATGTTTCATCAGTAGATCGGAAATCAACAGAATGAATGCGAAACTTTTGTGCGTTGAAAAATCTGGGATTATCAGCAACTCTTTTCTCCCAGTTATTCATAATTGATTTTTCAAATCCAGTATCAATCTGCAGAATAATAAAAGAAAATTATGAAATAATATAAGATATTTAGAAGAACGGAAGATTTTTTTGAGAAAATAAGGAAATACCGGTGGTTGATTTATTATCAGGGTAATAGTGCAATTTTGAGTAGTTTGCGAGAGAATTTCAAAAACAAGACATTTCCGAACAGATTTACATATTTTTATTAATAAAATTTAATTTTTTTTCCTATAGAATCATCATGATCAAAAATGGGTATAATATAAAATAATATTTCACTCGAGACCACTTTTAGAATTAATGAGAGCTACCAGCTTTCGATCAAATAGCAGATGAATCAAGAATCGATTACATCAGCCAGACTGTATCACAATGTATTATCCCAAGCTTTTCCTAAAGAGTTCATTATTAGTAATAATTAAGAATCTTGGCTTCTCACCACGTCAAATAAAATCAACAGGAAAAAAATATAGGAAGATATAAAACAAAATGAAGTGAATTTAATTTCTAATGAAAAATAACAATGCATAAGATGGATGATATATTGAATGTAAAAGAATGGTTTTGATAACAACATATAATTTAGCTTCATAAATGACTGACCTTTCTATTAAATTCATCTGAAAATACAACATGACACATTGATTCATGGATACCATCCGGTAGAGGTGATGAAAACATGATGGTAAAGTCAGGATCAATGCCTTCCTACAAATAAATAAATCACTACAAGTCACAGAAAATATAAACTCAATTGTTTTTTTTGTATTGTGTCGTAAAATCCCATTCTCTCAGAGTAAATGTGGCAGAATTAGAATATGCTTTAAAAAATAGTTAGAAGTCCAGATCACCACATTTTAAAAAAGAAAATCAATAAAAATCAGCAAATATATATTGTTAGTGGATGAAACTGTGATTGACCAGCGTTTATGTTAAGTCATTTACCATCTAATGACTAGCCGAACAGCGATATATAGGAAAAGTGTTTCTAACTATTAGCTGAGTGATGCTATCTGTCAGCACGTCAGTGTGGCGCACCATGCCAAGCATTAGGAATACGCTCGTTAACCACCAACCGCCGTAGGGTGGTTCACTTAACTGCTGGTGCTGGTCATGGACTGATAACCGGACGAGAGGCTGTGGTTCGCCATATGATTAGATCATCTTATCGTCTTTCCTCTCCCCCAGTCCCGCAGGATAAATTATGTAAATCCTATCCCAACCTAAATACAATCCGACACTGAGTATTATAATAAAATTGATGTGCAATTATCAACAATATTGGCAATAATAACCTCAGTCTTATCATTGTCCGTGTTCCCATCCACTGAAACTAATTGATGATCATTATTTTTCGTATTAACTTCAATTGTTACATCATTGTGGGGTATGACCTCATCAATTGATGTATTATTAGCTTCCATTTCAGTCTTTGATATGACTCTATCTTCCGTTGTATCGTCACTGCATGCAACCTGAAATTTAGCAGGAATATTACCTGAACAGAGCTGAAAGAACACAATTCTTCAATTTAATATTTTATCGCCTTATAAAGATTAACAACCATGGTGCATTTGAGAGCCTATAAAAGTCTTTATTACATATTTAAAAGATTCCGAGAAATAACAAGCAGTCACATAATTTTTTCAAGCAGCCAAGAATGATGAGTAACGAAATAAGTAAATAAACACTAGGATAGAAAATTTATAATTATAATGAGAAACCACAGCTTTCATCACCAGCTGATGTTGAATGCTGAAGTAACAATTTTAAATACCAGGTGCATAATTTGGGTGTTTTACAAATTCACTGCAAATAATTCTATGGACATGTAATCAATCAATTATTGTGCCAAACTGCAAATACATCAAAATAGTCATTTTATGTAATAATCATGTGGCTTTCAGTCGTCCAAAAATGTGTGGTGTTACAATAAGTACTCCTACCTTGATCCAAGATCCTCCTACAGTAACTGATTTACCAGGTATTGCATTATCTGGAAGTCTTGACAATACAGTCTGTAAATAGGGATAAAGATTTGTTTGAATTGCGAAGGCAATAAATTCATTTATTACAAATTTTCAATATAAACATCAAATATAAGAAATAGTAGAGCATCTCTCTCTTAGAATCTCAGATAGCACTCAATACCTTCAGTATTGGTACGCTCTTAGCTAACATGACTCGCTGACATGATTTCATCAACATAACAAATTTGAATGATATGAGATGCCAGATTTTGAAATATTCTTGATAGCCAAATGTTCCATATCTTTTTTATGAAAGCTCACATATGTTGCTAGCACTTTTATCTTGAACTACAGTAATCATGTAAATACCCTCAGAGTTAACTAATCTAGAGCTCTGAGAATATCAAGTAGAACTTGATACAAACTTGGTCCTCACTGCGTCTTTACCGCTAGTACATTGATGTAATTAGTTTTTGCATTACTTAGCCTTGAATGCTGACTTAGTAGGAAGCTATGTTCGCTACGTGGTTAAATTGCCTTATTGATCTTATTCTCCCAGGATAAATACATTTGACAAAAATTCTATCTTATCCACTTATCCCTAATGTATTGTTCTCTAGAACAGCGAAAGTCAATTGTTAGAAAAAACGCAATACAAAACAGCTTAAATCAATATTGATGCAAGAAAATAAATCATTGTATGTCGACAAAAAACACTGGTATATAGTGAGTCCATTCTAGAACAATGCACGTTGAAACAAGAACAAACATAAGAAGAAATAGGAACAGGCATTTCCTTGCTCACAGGGTTATTTATTCTGTGATAAGACTCTACGTTAATATTTCTTATAGCAATGTTCTACCATCTGCAGAATATGATATAGGCTCTATCTCATAGTGTGTTCTTTCATAAGCACAATACTAGATAAATCTTCTAGTCTTATCTTTTTGCTGTGCATGTCCATCTCATCGTCCCATATTTTTTCACAAATAACTAGCATATAAGACATAATAAATTTAATGCTGTCCCACATCTAACAGAAACAGCAATATCAAGTTCAGCTGACATTCAACAGCAGTGCAGTACGGTATTATATCCTCGGGCTAATTTATTGATAGATTTTTTGATTCAAATTATAAGCAATAAGTTTACTCAAATGCTTTTGGAATGTATTAATTATTTCATTTAACTGTAGGCGCATGTATAAAGTGGTTTGAAAACATTTTTATATTTATTTAAGCAGATACCACGTTTTGATATCAGATATCAATTGAGACAACTAAGAAATATTTTTATCAACTCGTAGCTGATTTATACATACCATAATTTTACACCAACGAGACTGTGCAAAAAATGATTGGAGATTGACAAAAATGGCAATTCTAAAATTTCAAAAAATGAATGCACAAAAGATGTCATAAAAAATTTCAGTGAGCTTACTTTTGGATTATTGTCATTGGTTGACATGTGACCAATCACCATGCTACTTGTAGTGTGACCCCAAACAACCTCAACTGCACAAAATAATGAAATAATAATTGATATACGCTTTTAACTAAATCATAACTGAGATACCAAGCGCTTTTAGACCTAACCTTAACAAGAATGTTCCATAAATAAATGATTTGAAATTCTGTGCATAATTGATTCAATTTCAAATGTTTAAAATATTTTGATTAACAGGTGCAATTATAATTATATGAAACAGATGAATATTGCGTTTGTGTCCAAACTATGATTTTCAAATTGAGTCAATTTGTTCCTATTTCTCACTTGTACAATTAAATGAATCTTTGGTATGATGTAAGCAAAGAAGTCCTGCTTGTTTGTCGCAATCTGAATTCAACATCGAAGATCCTGAAACAAATCATCCACACTATTATCGTAGATTCATTTTGTCATGATAAGTTGATATATACATGAATATTTCCAATAAAAAATGAGCAACTAGAAAACTTTTCAAAATATTACTCAAAACAAGGCTCTATCTATGTAAGCTTCTACGAGCTACAGTGGTTTTCGAATGGACAGAAGCAGGCATACTTATGGAACTTGTTATGGTATTTATTATTTTAAAGCCTCTCGTTTATTACTCACACACCCCTATCTGAAAGTCAAGCATGTACGTCTGGCTCGAAAAAAAATACCATGTAAATATTTCGAAAAATAGTTTAAAAACTAAAATATTGAATGCATGTGTTATCTTCTATCTTATCTTTGTAAAGAATTAATTCAAATTAGTTCAAAAATGTGAAAATGGAGCAAATAATTTTTGAAATTCATCAGTAGTTAGTTCATCAATAACTTATGATACATCCCTGTGCTTGAAGCAAATTTAGGATTTCGATTGACGAAGTATCAGAAAATGCTCAATATACAGAGAGTTTATTAATTTAAAAGATATACAAATGTTTGTTTTGCTTGGTGGGAACATTCATTATTATTGTACAAAGGCTGTGCTCTCTTTTTTCTACAAAAGCAAAATAACTGAATTGAATACACTAAAAGCCTCAGCGAACATACCGAAAATATAGCAAATTTTAGTCTATTTCAAAAAATAAATTTTATACATACCAAGGAAATCTTTCACCAATGTATCTTGTATTGCTTGATAAGGTTGTTCATCCTTTTGCAGATTCTCTGCACAGATTTTTGCTAATGTTGTACTGATCAATTGCTCACCACAACCTAGGAATAGGTAGAGACTTCCTTACAATGTCAAAGAGTTACATAAAGGCATGTTCAGAAATGAACTGCAATTACTTCATTGCACAAAAAATAACAATATATGCCAATCGTACAGAAGGAGAAAGGTAATTTTTGATCCTGTGGGTAACAAAAGGAATGACAAAATGATACAAAAAAGACTGCTGTTCTAAAATTCGCCAAGTGATGAACATTTGCTTCACAATCAAGCGGGTTTCAAATGATGCGGTATGAGTTTTTTTGTCCACGGATTTCCATGAAGAATTAGATTTTATGCATTCATGATGAACATGATGTAATTCTCATATTTATCCTAGAGAAGAAGAAATCTGATAAGAGGGTTCAATGATATGACAAACAACAGCTTCTTGTTGAAGAAACTGTTCAGATCAGAATCTCCATATATAGCTACTTTAATTTTACAATAGATCCAGATGCATGGACTTTGAAAGTAGGATTCGAAACCCGAAGGTGGATACTTGAACCACCCAGCTGAAAGCTGATAAACGTTTTCCTAACAAATCCAAAATTGATTATCAAATGAATCCTAATATATTCTATAAGTGATTGTTTTTTACTTACCACTAGTTGAAACAGCTATAGCAGGTTTATCTGTTTTACCAGGTGAAGCCCAACAACCACAACCATACATAGCAGCCTGGAAATATGGAATAAGAATATATATTGCATAATGATCAATATATATATATTTAAAAAATATATGTCCCAGTAAATACCACATATAATAGGCAAAAGGTAAAATGTTTAAATCAGTGATACTACAATCCGCAAACCAAACAAAAAGTTAAGATACACTATAAAACAAAATACCTATAAAAAAGGACCTGATTTGTCACCTACGCATTATATATTGGAGCATTACAGTATAGTGAAATTGAGCACGGACACAAAGGTATAGAAGACGGAAGGTTCAAACTAGAATGATATTGACAACAAGTGCATGGTCAGAGACCAATTATGATATCACAAGTTGAATCTGTAGAATGAAGCAAGCGAACAAAGTTTTAAATATTGTATTATATTTATAGATACAGATTTGCAAAGATCTACAATGGTAATATTTTCAACATAAAACAAGTCTCATATAAATGTTAAAAATTCACACCTGCCCAACACGTCCTGGCATTTTCAGTATCAATCCTCCGCTAGATACTGCAGCTGCAACATTTCCTTGCATGTCCAATACAACAGCTCCAACTGTGTCCAGCCTAAAAAATGAAGATATAAATCTATTCAGCGTATGGCCCATGCTTTCTTTGAGCGTGATTTTTTAATTTGTGTTTAAATATTATTTGAGAAAAACATTAGCACTCGAAAAACAAGCTTACTGAAAAATAGTATTATTAGGAACACTTTTTAGGGAATGAGTATTTGCATGGCTAGAATGTTATCATTTAGCATACCTATATCGGTATATGGCAGAAAGCAAGATACAATTGTCAGCGAACTGTTTGCTTGAAAAACTGGGTCAATTCGACAGATGAATTAATGAAATCAGGAATCCTAGAAGCACTAATACTAATCCTTGAGGAATTCCACAATGGATGGGCAACATTGGGGACCTGTGTAAATCTACCTACCTTCACGAGACAGCTAATCACATAATAAGCTGCCTGCAGCAACCCGAATACCATAGTGTCCTAGTTTTGAGGAAAGCATAATATAACATTGGAGACCTGTGGAAATCTACCTTCACGAATTGATGTTCACAAGACAGCTAATCACATAATAAGCTGCCTGCAGCAACTCGAATATCATAGTGTCCTAGTTTCGAGGAAAGCATACTATAAAAGACAGTGTCAAAAAAAATTCAACAGAAAATGGTCTGTGATTCAAAGGATTATTTTCAACACTCTTAAATATTGGCATCACTCTAGCGATCTTCAATGAAAAAGGGAAATACCTAATCTGAATCATGAACTGAAAAAATGACTTGGTGCAGTTGATATGATATCAGTGACAGCTTTAAGAAAGTGGGATGGAACATCCACATGATCAAATTATATATTAGATACCTTTTGTTTAGTTCTTCTTCATTTTGCACATTATCTTCTTCTTTGTCTTGATATTGCCTACTTCGAGTTAATTTCTCAACAAGTTTTCGGTGATATTTTTGCCAAGATTTGTATGAAGATTCTTTATGTAAAGTTATATTCATTATTGTAAAGATAAAATAGCATATTCAAAACGCTTAAAATTGTAGGATTTTATCTTAAAATAAAAAATATTCTTATATGATATAATTATATATTGACATACTACTACTAATACCAAAAAATATTTTTTCAAAACAATTCAAAACATCACGAATTTATTAAGTTATATTTCTAATCTATTCTAATACTGTAGTATAATAGTATAATTATTTCAAAAATAAAAATAGCTTAAATGCAAAATACCACTTATTAGATCTTCTGTTTGACATAATTCAATACCGTGAGCTCTTGACCAATTCTCTGCTCCTTCAGATACCAGAAAACTGTTATAAAACGAACATTGATGAGGAAAAACGAATAGCAATAAAAATTGAAGATATCAATGAGAGATACACCAGCCAACACTCTCAAATCGCATAAAAGCCATAAATAATTTAAGGTTACAAGTTGCAACACTTTTCAAATAAAATGATATTATTGTATCAATAATTAGACACTACAAAACTAATCTTTTATATATACTGAAGTATATGTTTACCACTATTATATCATCTCTAAATGCGTCTTGAAAAATTTTATATAAAAATCTATTACTACAAATTCTTCACCTCGGAGGTATTCTGCCAAGTTCAAGTCTTGGGCGCTTTCTTTGTTCATCCAAAATTTTATAAGCAGCACAAATAGGATTTTTAATTCTTCCAACACAAGCAACAGATCCAAAATAACTTGAACATTGATTTGAAGAATCTAAAAATAACATATAATATGTAATAGTGAGACTATACAAGAATCCTTAAAATTATTCCAAGAAAAAAAATAATTATAAGACAGCTCAATTACTTAATGACAGATAACCAGTTCCAGGCTCGGAAATTTGTAAAATTCAGTTTCACTTGCCCTGCTGTAACAGTGAGAATTCAACTTGATCATACACATTCTCACAGGATGATATTTTTGCAGAAAATTGGCTACTTTGAGAGTGAGCGCTAGAATGTATATCATAACTATCCAATATAAAATATTATGTTCAGAATGAAAAAGTCCAAATTTTCTATGAAATTCTTACCTGGAGAAGGACAAGTGTCCATTACACTTGCATCACATTCTATCTTCCCGTCTTCTGTTAAATTAGAACCAATTCCAGCATTTGTCATTTCACTATCCTGTTGTGATGATTATTAGAATTTAATTCAAGATAATAGAAAACATTCAAAAGCACAAAAACAATGTCAAATCGCAGTTACTGTCTATTCAATGGTGGATTTTATCTAAAGCGGGCTTTTATTCTTTCACGAAGACAAGAATATGGCAGATGACAACATGATATAAATTAAAATATTTTTTGATATTTCAGGTAAGCGAAAACAGCCAACAAAGTTGATATTGCAAAATATTCTGAAACAAATGAAAGAAAAATGTAATAGGATTTAAACATAATAATGCTACATCATAAACACATGGAAAAGAAAAAGTTATTGGTGGAATTTAATTTTTACATGGCGTTTTAGATATAATTTACAAAGTTTAACACAAATTCAATGAATTAATTGAACAAAACGTTGAACAACTGACACCTCAAGCATTTTAATAGCTAATGTAACTGCTTCTCCAGCTGTCACTCCATGTTTCAATTGTTCAGTAACTTCTTCACAAACTTTTTCACATAGGTGTTTGTATCCTGGCCATCTATCATCAGAATGAAAACCAGCACCTGTTTCAAACACAAAAATGTAAGGCAATCCCAAGGACACAATAAACACAACACAAATTTCATATCCCTCTTGTAATGACACTTTTCAATTGCACGTTTCTTTACCATGACTAAAATACTCACCCGCATGAACAGCCACGAAACCAACATTAAACTTTTGATTTCTGAATCAAAAAAGATAATTATAACTCAAGTACATGTCGATCACAAGTTAAAACAAGAATGTAAAAAATTCAGTAGCTAAACTTGATATATATTTTACGAGTAATGTCAAATTTCAGGAATACCATTTTTCCGAATCCAGAATTTCACAATCAAGCTTATACAAACTGACAATACGTAACACACAAATTATTTATAATATTTGAACAAAAAATTGATATTGTACTTGAGTCATGCATGACTCATGGTTAGCCATCACCAACATTCTCTCTCAAGAATAGCAAATTTAAAAATAAAAGTTTTAGCTTGTCATCTGCTTTTGTATATTTCTCATAGATATACATACAATTATATTAACACGATTCTATAACTTCCACTATTAGGTTATAAATTATAATTCCGTTGTAATACATATAATGAAGTCCACACGTCAGCAACACTCCATTAAAGTTATTAACTCAATAGATAAAATCTTTGCAAAATAAATAAAACTCACTCAAGATTTGATGAGGTCGTGCTACTGTTCTCTAAGGGAATTTCCATCACTTTTGTTACACTGGGCGGCATCGTGTCATCACTTTGTATTTGTTTTGATTGTCCATAACCAGGAATATTAGAAACTTTTCCAACAGCCAGAAATATGTGATTTCGAATAGCCTTTGTAATCAAATGTTATATGAGTAAACATTGTTCTCGATTCACAAGATTTGGGGCTTTGACCCCAAAGCTATTTTATTTCATGGATATGTAAAAATTTAAGCTATGTCAAATGGAAGTAAAGTTTAACGGAGATTTCAAAGACAGTTGACATGTTTATCTGAACATCTATGATATGCCAAATTAATATTGACAACAATGGGTGCTTGAGAGCAAACACAATTCAATCTTTATATAGAGAATATAATTTATCATGCATAAAAAGACTGAGGCTGCTATCAGATATGTTTTTTTCCTAAAATATGGAATTCAAACTAAAATTTACAGCCATTTCATCCTTTTTATATTGAAATTCAAAAAAATTATAGCACACTTTGATGGAAGGAAAATATCTTGGATTATCAGGTTTTGGTTTTTCTTCAGCATCAGCATGAGCAAATAATGTGTTGATGACAAAGTCAGACACCATTGCTTTGATATTATGCACATCTGAAATTCCTGTCAAACAAATATAAACATATAAAAGTAAAAACTATATCAACTTAAAAATGGAAATAATCAAAATTTATGCTATTTTTTAGTTGTAATAACAAATATACAAGTAAATTAGTACTTTATGAGACTATTTATGTTATATGCAAAACAAGATTATTAAACACATGCATTCTTACCACTTTTAGCCAATTCTCTAATCTTTTTGGTAACACGTTTATCTAACTGTGTTGCAGTGAGACGAGAACTCTGTTGACTATGATCATGAGCAGGTGCCAGAGGAAAACGACAATAATGAATGTCTGTCAATACATGAATATGATGATTTATTGATGAAGCAATAAAAAAGCATTATCTTTAAAATAACTCAACGCTTGTGTTGCATATTCCATATCAATAATGTGATAAAATATTCCATATCAATAATGTGATATTTTTTTGAGGAGGAAATATGCCAACAATATGGCAAAATAATATTGAGAAATCTAGCGTATTGTTGACCTAACAACCATGTACGATGTACCTACCAGTACATTTCAAACTTTTTTTAGAAGTCATTGCTTCCAACAATTTGCTTTTCATATCATCTCTCTGCTTTTTTATGTCTGCTTCAGATATATCACCATACTGAGGTAATCCATACTCTGTATAAATTCTAATGGTTCGAATCTAAAACAAAATATCTTGTTCATAAAAATACAATAGAATGGCAATTTAATATTTGAGTTACATTAATTTACTAAGTAATTAAAAAATTGTTTAAATAAAAGATATATAGGAATTATGATGAGTTCATAAATTCAGATAATTGGAGATATTAATTCATCAATGAAAGTCACTTTTTCAAATTTACATAAATTGTGATCCAACTATATTCACATATTATTCGACAATGCATAAACATTTATAGAAGTATAATAACGAATCAAAATGCAAGCAGGAACATTATTAATTACAAACCTGAATAGAAGCACTGCATGAGTTATTATTTTCTGATTTTCTCTTTTTTGATCCATCCTCATTTGTTGTTTGTTTCTAAAAAAGGTGGTTTTGAAAGCAAGTGTTATGGATTTTTGAGACTAAATATAAAAGAGGTATATCCAAATGATTAAACATTGAACTTAGCTATATGTCAGGTTCAATCCCTTGTCTAAACCTCAACCAGAAAGTAAAAAGTTGATAACCTTCCTAAATATAGCAGCTTTTTACCCATTAGTAGATACTTGTTCAGTGACTTGTTCACCCAGAAAAACATGTAAAAATATTGTATAAAAAAGTAGTGATTACGTGGAACTCTATAGATATCCAAACTGTGTAGACAAAAATGTGTCACGTTCTTATATTTTCAGATAACTTGATTGTTGAATGTTTCATGAACAACTTACGCAAATCGTGTCAAACATTTTGAACTCGCTTGAAATTCATAAACAAAATAGAGCATTATTAATCATAGTCAACACCATGTTATTATCAGCATACTCATGTATCCAGTTCTGGCAATTAACTTTAAACATTTAGGCAATCCTAACCTAACTTTATATATCAAGATTTAGGAATAAATTAAATATTTTATCACTACCCATAACTTTACTAAAACCCATTCAGACAATTTTAAAGTTTTTTAAGAATAATTGCATTAAATTCCAAAAAAATGAGGCCGTTCGAGTTCGCATAAAAATATAATAATTAAAACTTGTTTTACACAGGACGTCATTACAGTGCAAAAGCCTTAGATGATATGATGAGCACTGGCCAGCTGCAAAATCATTTAACTCGGTTACACGCATGATTGAATCATTATGCCTTGATAATTTATTATAAAAATCGTTCATTTTTGCTGTTTGGTCATGGGATCATGATGCTAATAAGCAAGGCTGCAATAAGAGTTATGATGACCAATTCCTCTAACTGGATCATTGTAGTGTCAACATTCAGAGAATAGGTTAAGATGCCATCATTATAGTGATACTGTGATAGGTTAAAGGACTGAGAAGAAAGATCTAGCTCAATCATTCTAGGTCTAACCAATTAATTCATACGACTACAACTATGCTTGTCAACAACAACAATAAATGAAGATTTTTTTGTATTTGATATATTCAACAGAAACCATCATAATAGTTTTACTAATTTGCAAACCATCACAATCAAAATTGAGCTGATTATACCTTTGACATGGAAGACGTTTCATTGCAATTCCACTTTTCAGTTGCAATAACTTCAAAAGGATATCCATGGTATGGGATGGGGACGGTACTGTTTGTTTGACTGAAGTAGATTGCTGTAAATAATACAGTAATATTATACCTTTGGGCTGTATTTTCGAATCACATTTTTGTTTGGCAATATTCAAGCAGTTGCAGCGTTTACTTCCATAGCCCCTAAATATCTGTGCTTTTGTAAATACTGATTCGAAAGAACTGGCTTTTTTACCAGATAACTCATTTACAATTTTGAGCCAGTATAGATTGAGACATAAAAAGTTAGAATGTGAAACAATTTACTTGATTTGGTTGAGTTGCCAGCCTTGAAACGTTTTGAAGAACCTTTAAAATGAGATGAAATTCGTACAAAACTACAACAAGATGTTGATATAAATCCTTCTACCAAAGTTTTTGTACAATCGGTGAATTTTCCCGTGCAATATTTTCCATCTGCTGTGCGTTCTAACCCAACTAAGCATTTCTGTAAATAAATTTCCCCAGCCATTTGTTGTCGATTCCAGTATCTGCAAAACTTGGCGACAACAGGGAAAGTACCAATGTCAAAATGGTTGGGGAATTCCCTTTATCACAAGGGTCAATAGTGTTATGGTTCAATGACCTGAACAATCATATCAGAAATTTAATAAGTTTTCAAACTCGACAATAAGTCAGTTAACTTTGGATAATTTAAAACAAAAAAAAATAAATGCAATATATTGCATTATATAAGTTTTGTGCTCGAGTATAAAAATCATGATCAGATTTCTAGAAGAAATAACTTGTGAAAAAGGCAGCTGACTATTGTTACGATTTTAGGCTCTGTTATGCAGTCACAGTATAAAACGAATTTCATGCCCGCCGTTTTGCATGAGGTTTGTATGAGAATGCTTGCAATGTAAGTCTCGGCCCGATTAATATGTTCGAATTTGCCGCGGACTCAAGGTAAGCGGGAAATTCAAATAAGAAAAAAATAATGGCGCTAAAGAAATTTGCGATATCCTCGATTGCGAGCGCGCAATTTAGTCGAACACGCTTTCATTTTGTTCGCAACAAGCGGGCTTGATATTGATCAATTTATTATTGCAGTACTGTACTGACGTTATTATTTCGTTTCATAAAACGAAAGTTACAACGTTTCCTGGTGTTATTATCGGATTTTAGTCTTAATGCTGTAATGTAACGATTTTTTACATTTGTTTTTATTGTTATACTATGGTCAGATAGTCTGTGTTTATCCTTCAAAATTAAAAATGTCTGGACGCGGCAAAGGCAAATCCAAATCTCAAGAAAAGAAAAAGACAAGATCGTCTCGCGCAGGACTGCAATTTCCAGTTGGAAGAATCCACAGACTGCTAAGAAAAGGAAATTATGCACAAAGAGTTGGTAATGCTGTAATGTCTGGTTGTGGACATTGAAATCTTATTCCTGTATTCAGCTACTCGGCTATTTAACGAATAGAGTAATGTCAGAATGTACCGTACTGGTACGGTACTGCTACTCATCTATTGCTGTATTTAACTCAGCCTACTTTCAGACTTTTAAAATAGATTATGGTATGTCTGTATGCAGGTATGTCCTGATGTCTGTGCAGTTAAATATGCATCTTTAATATACCCTATACGTTATACTACTAGCCTATATAATTGAATAAATATTATTTATACTTATTTTGTAGGAGCTGGTGCTCCAGTTTATCTTGCAGCTGTTCTTGAATATTTAAGTGCAGAAATCTTGGAATTGGCTGGAAATGCAGCTCGTGATAATAAAAAATCTAGAATCATACCCAGACACATGCAATTGGCTATTCGCAATGATGAGGAATTAAACAAGTTGCTGGGTAAATTTTAAGTTATTTAATAAAAAAGTTTTTCGTAACGTTCAGTGTTTACTGCTTTTGTTTATCAAATATACAATGGATAATCATTTGAAGGTATTAGAAAATTGGAATTCAATTGATGCAGGTATATGATGAAAAATCTAATTGATCAGTCAATCAAAATTGGCATCATTGACTGTGTCTATATGTAGCAGCTTTGGTCAGAATGTGTGTGATCTGATATGACTTACAGATATGTCAATTGCACTGAAGTAAATTATGCATCTTGCATTTCAGCATTTGTTGATTAGAAATGATATGTTTGGTGTGTCAATTTTATTGCTCGTGTTAAAATATATTTTGTATGCATGCAGGCAATTATTAAGAGTATTTCAGACTTTGTAACTACATTATTCATATTATCATTAGGAAATGTGACCATAGCACAAGGTGGTGTTCTTCCAAACATCCAATCTGTTCTTCTCCCAAGGAAAACAGGCGACAAAAAATCAACAGGAACTTCCTCTCAATCACAGGATTTTTAAGCTGTTTGAGGTACATTATTATTTTCTAAAATAAGCTCTGTCTACCTGCTTGGACTGTGCAAGCAGTTTCCAAATACTTACCTAGCTTTTATTTTTCATGAAACATTTCATGACACTTACCGTAGAAGAAGTAACCATTTTGTCAAGATTTAGCAACATTTCTAATACTAGTAAGCAATTACTAATAAGACTATTTTTCTTATCATCACTACTTTTGTGTAGTTACTAGTGATTAGAGTTACAATGCATGAAAAATGTTTTCGTATAATAAAAGCATTCACTGGAGGATCCAAATCTGCACCTTGTGATCTGACTCGCAACCAGAATAGCAGTCAGATTGACATCAGCCCATATTTTTAATACCAAAAGTTTTAAATATACTTTCCTTTGCAGCTGAATAATTTTAGTCATTGTATACCAAATTTAACACATAGTTATATAAATTTTCAATGTACAATTCATGGAACATATAAAAGTACAATTGTTATTATCAAATAGTGTTGCGCAACTTTGAATAACTGCAACTTTATTTTCTCTTCAGGTGACAGCTCACTCATCCACTGCCTCAATTTCTTTCTAATGTTCTTCTCATGTTTATTTTCTGGTTTTATTGGTCGACTTTTGCCTAATTTCATTCATTACAAGTTATTTCTCATAAATTTTGTGGTAAATTTGTATGAGATGAGTGAAAGTCTTCATATTTGCTGTAGATCCCCTACATCTCAAAGTACTTTCCGTGATGAATTTTCGACTTTGAGAACCTAGCTCATTAACTCACTATTGCTTTGAATTGCAAGTCCCAATCTGTAATGCGAGCGATAATGAGCTACACTATATTAATAAAATTACCCAATGTTGTTGATCTCTCGCATCTATCGGCAATTTTCCCCATTTAGTTTATGATCTCAGACTAGGTCCTATGTTCATTTGAGATTAATTTTTTAACTCTGAGACTTATTAATCACAGCAGGTAGTTTACTTCGTGGGTAACTAATACGTAATATAGTATTTCCGAGGTGTAAACCGAAAAGGCAAATTGGACATACAGGGTGTGATGGCCATGAGGGGGGGCTGGGCATTTTGAATCGTGTAGTAAATTATTCGAAGTAGGAAATTTCGAATCCCCGCTATCTTGCTTTTTCATGTTCGCCAAAGGTCGAGATGAATCTGACAATTTTCTATTGAAGCCATATTTTTAAAATGTAATTCTGACATATTAATTCCTAGCGAGGTATTGATTTTGTTGTGTATGACTATGAACACTCGGCGAGCTGCCTGAGTGATAAATTCAATATTTATAATAAATCATGTGGTCTGGCGAATCTAATATAATAAAAGGTCACTTACAATTACGTATATTTCGAGATTCGATTTTGAGATCATCCTGTATTCGAGACTACCCAGCTCTACTGGTAAGTCATTTGCGCAGACAACACTACCACCAAAAATGTAATTTATTAATGTACAGTAGGCTATTATTAGTTTTCTCGAGATGATCTTGCCATTCCAACTTAATGCTAGAATCGGAGTGCATAGATCAGGGGTCGACAACCTTTTGTCGCTCGCGGGCCAAAATTGAGGGTCGCAAGTCATTGGCGGGCTGCACATATTTTTAGAAAGTTGAAAACCGAACTGATGTTACTTTTTATAATAAAAATCAAGCAGTGATACATCTCTCGAATAGATAGATTTATTTCCTTATTGCATTGCATCTCGAAAAATTCCATTTCAATACTTTCGGCGCCACTAAACCCAAATTATAATTAAATTATTGGCTCATTAAACGAGTAATTGTGAATTATATACATGTTAGATTATAATATAATTTAGTCTTACAATAAATTCGGTGACCTAAAGAATATAATCGTCAAAACAGCTGTTTTGTTACTATAATTCAATAAAACGTCGCGGGCCGTAGGTTGTCGACCCCTGGCATAGAGCATAATAGGGTTATACATAATATAGCACACATAAAGTCAGAAATATTGCTGAATTTGAAATTAAATATAGAAAATTGTATCATGTAACGCTGGTTGAAGTTGAGTTCATGGCATCGGTTCGTTAAACAGCATGTTTGCGTCCAGCTTGATAAATCCCCTAGATAGAAAACAAATAGCTTCGTTCTAATACGTGTTGTAACCGAATTATTATCTTGTTACAATTTTGGAAACATGGCGTTGTACTTTTAGTAGAGAGGTCTGTGCTGTCACACAAAAATCCCACCCGCCTGTGGGTCATTCTAATATGCCAGCTTGACAATGATATGACAAGCTTTACACTATTAAATATACGGTCGTTATAATCCTAAATCTGTTTTGAAATATCGACTCCCAACTTTATAGTACGAACCCCGAAGTTATAGTATTCCGCCACTGAGAATTTTTCAAAAAGATCTCCCTGGCCGATTAAAATACGCCAGGCCGCGATTACATAGCCCTCGGTTATTTTAATCCGATTTCAATTTTTTGGTTTCCGTACATTTGAATCCACGACAATTGCACCTATGGAAATTTTTTTGTTTTGCAGATATTTGAACCCATACTAATCCATGGGTTTCAGCACCCGCATATAGATTGAACCCGCGGATATACACATGGGTTCAAATGTACAGTCACCCATTTTATTTAGTTCTCTGTCTTTTCAGAGTTGTTGACAGGCTTAACTTGGAAAATAACTTTCCACTGGTCCGATATCATGACCTTTGAAACGATGTTTAGGGTATATTTACCTCTGGTATGCATAAGTGGGTCCGTCTTGGCCTTTAGCACGAGCAAATCCAACATATAGTTGACTTTGGGTTAAGTCGTAGACAGCAGAATGAACGGAGCCGGTCTGAGCTCTTGCCATGATGTCACGAACGGCGATTTCGGGAGACAACTTGCCGTAGTTGGCGTTTATTCTTTCAGCGACTTTCTTATTGTATCCAGGGCACAGCCAATCCATTCCTGTTAGGAAAAGAAGTGAAAACCACTTTGACTTCCGACTGTGTGGATCAACTGGTATGATTTGTTGTGTATGTATGCCAGTGGCGGCGCGTGGTCATTTTGACAACCGGGGCAAGCTACTGCGGGACCAAGTCACCCCCATCTACGGGGACAGGATGAGCGCTGTAAGTTCTCCCATCATTTTATGAGTATTGAAACCATTCCATCGGTAACAACCAATTGGCAAAAGCGACAATTTTTAACGATAAGAAAGTGTCTTTAAAACCGGTCCAAGTCAAGGGATTAATAAATATAGACATAGTTTATTTTGAAACCTCTTTCAAAAGGAAAGGCAATATTTACCCAGATAAATACAATGACATATTAACAGAAACTTCGAGAAAGCAGACAAAACCTAAAATAAGGTTTAAAACGTTACTATGAAGAAAGGAAAGGTAATGCAAAGATAAGGACATGCGTCGCTCACTCATAGATATATATGCTGCTAGACTTCTACTGCTTGAACATATATGCAACACGCCGCGGTTTCTTGGAAGCAAAATGCTAAATAACGCGCTGATTAAAGTCATGCATCCCAGAAATAACGTCTCTGTGAATGGATAAAACAGCCAAGGAATTTAATCTATCTTGCTTCATTGTGTTTCTGAGATACGTTTTAATACGCTTCAGCGTGCTGAATGTTCGCTCTGCGTCGGCGGAAGAAATAGGCGTCGTCAAAATGATGTCCAGAAATTTTGCAGACGCCGCAAAGGTAGTTACTAGAGTGTTATCTATGAGGAACCCATAGAGCGCGCAAGTTGATGTGATGTTCAAAAAAGTTTGATTGGTGTATATACATCGCAATTCATTTTCCAATTTACCCACGTTTATCATGGAGTAAAATTTGGAGACAGTAGCCAACAAATGGATGGGAAATTGACGTGCAAATTTTGAAAAATTTCTGGGGTTCATCAAAGAGAACGCGGCAAGGTGTTCAGTGCGCAGACGATCGCCTATTTGATTCACCAGAATGTCACAGCATTCCTTTGCAGACAAAATCAAACGCTGCGTTGTTTGCCCGCGGCGTAAAGAAGCACTCCATGTGTCGTCGTATTTTATTGTTTCCCGGATATGAGATACAGCATCGCAGAAGTCTGAAATACACGACTGCACAGACGCTCCATCCATTAGCCTTGACTGCAATGCGCCGTATAATACATCCACGTGATAGAATATTGTGGAGAAAAAAGCGAGAAAAAATGAAAACTCTAAAACCAAATTTACACCAACGTGAGTCACGGGCGGTAGCAAAAAGTAGGCAATAAAAACAAAAAAGTGCATTTTTGTCCTCGCTGTAACACAACCATTCGTGTTTTTTATACCAAGTTTCTGCGCAGAATGTACGCCGACGCTTTCCTCCGTCATGGGATTGTTCCAGTGAACAATTTTTTGGTTGAGGCCGAAGACGTTGTACCTCTAATTTTTGTTCCAGCGGCAGCTGCGAAAACGGAGTGCGAAGTAGTGCATCAACCTTATTCATTATGAGGTCTAAGGCTAAGAAATGCGAAGCCGGAAAGAAGTGAGGAGCTCAAAAGGAATGTGGAAAATCGAAAGCAAATGGACTAAAGGTCTCTAACTGATTCAAATAGCGAAACAAGCGACAAAAACGAAGGCGAGGAAACTATCAACTCTTCAAGCAACCAACGAACGAGAAGGAATGCGTGAATATGTCAACACGTTGTTGTAAGAAACGTCGGCATTGTGTCGTCATAATTTCGGGGCTAGCCCCGATCGGCCCCGATGATTTAGTAAAAGAAACAGAAAACAAACGAGACAAACGCGGCGAGTGGAAGATAAAAGAGAGAATACGATATACAATGAGCAACCGGGGCAAAATCGGCGTCGCCCCGTCGACGTTCGGCGAAGGCTTTGCGAGCGAAAAATGAACCATGTCGGGAGAATATGGCTAGTGTAGACAGTCTGTGCAACCGATATTGAGGTATTTTTCGAATATTTTTTATTATACCGAAAATTGACCTATTGACGCGCCGCCACTGATGTATGTATATTAGCCAAAAGAATTACTGAAGGTGTTTGGTTCCAAATGATGGAGATGTCATCAATCCAATACTTTTAGTGTTATTGTTGGTCTGTTTAGCAAAAAAACTATTTCAAAGGGCAATGCGCGTTATTGTGTTGCATTGGTAATTTGTGCGAACTAATTTTTCCATGAATTAAAAACACTCCAACGGCTATCGGGAAATGTTGAAAATCGCTATTTACGTTGATGCAATTTGCGAGCTACGGTCTTGTCGCCTACAGAAAATACTCTTAGGGGAGAGGCAGGTTAGTTGGTGCTGTAGTTTAGACTTTAGATGATACAGCGCTTCTCACGGCCGTGCAATGCACTTTAAGAAACTGATGCGCCACCTGGTGTTTGGCTAGAATATGATCTTCCTTTCTGTTAGTCGTCTGACGATGTTGGTTGCAGCACGTTTAAAATTTTCGAAAAAAATCAATTTTTGAGATCTGGAGTGAAAACGTCAAATCAAGGTAAATTGATTATTTTTTCAGGCATTATAAATGAGCGATGCAAGTGAGTATTTCCTTGCAGTAGTGTATGATATAGCTTACATAACAGCCTACATGTTCCTGGATACTGATTTGATTTCTTCCCACTACGGGCCTTTTTTTCAAAATAGCCAAAGGTTGACTAGATGATACAATCGTGGTTCCATTAGTTGATACGTGTATCGACTAACCCTGTTATTTATTCCATGTATTTTTTTAGCATATTTTTCAGCAAATATATTTTCAGACTTTCTTTTAACCGGCTTTTATGGTTTGCAGCATTGTCAATATTTTTACGCTGCCAATATTGTTTTCAACGTATTTTAGGTGATGCCTCAGTACTATAGAAGAAAAACAAACAGAGCCATAAGAACTCCCCCGGATGTGATGTCGAGGGCGGCTGACGATGTTGTTCGCGGGCGATCATTGAGGAGTGTAGCTGAAGCATTTGGCATCGATAAAATGACGTTGTCTCGTTTTATAGCCAAGCGCAAAAATAATCCTAACGCAATTACAGGTTACGCTGCTGTTGCTCATGCACATTATGTTATTCCTCAGCAAATGGAAGAAGATCTGGGAAATCATGTCAAACGATTGGCCGACATGTTTTTTGGACTCTCTCTTGAACAGTGTTGTAAACTAGCTTATGAATTTACATTTCAAAACCAGCTGTATATGCCATTGTCTTGGAAAATCAACAAAAAAGCGGGAAATGCTTGGTGGCTAGGGTTCAAAAAACGACAAAATCTTTCCATACGGACTCCAGAGGCAACTTCACTCGGAAGGGCGACTGCATTTAATCGTCACACGGTTGGTGAATTTTTCGACAACTTAGCACAGGTCATGGATGTGGACGATTTTCACCCTGAAGATATTTACAATCTCGATGAAACCGGGTGCACCACTGTTCAAACCCCATCTGATATTGTTACAGCCAAGGGTAAAAAACAAGTGGGTGCAGCTACGTCTGCTGAGCGTGGTGAACTGGTTACGGTAGTCTACTCTACACCATCTGCGCCTCTGGTAATGTGCTTCCACCTATGTTTATATTTCCGCGCGTAAACTTCCACAACCACTTTATCATTGAAGGGCCACCGGGCTGCATTGGACAAGCAACAAAGTCTGGCTGGATTAATGAAGAACTTTTTTTCGTTTATCTGGTGCGCCAGACTCGTTGTACTCCCGAAAGAAAAATTCTTTTGATTTTGGATAACCACGAGTCTCATATTTCTTTACGTGCTGTTGAGATGGCAAGATCCAATGGAGTAGTTATGCTTACTTTACCACCTCACACATCTCATCGATTGCAACCGCTTGATAAAACGGTGTATGGTCCTTTCAAAGCCAGTTATAACAGAGCGATGGAGAGTTGGCTACGTAGTCATGCTGGGAAAATGTTACAGTATATGATGTTCCTGGCATTGTAAAAGAGGCTCAAATGTCAGCAATGACATCGAGGAATATTCTATCTGGATTTCAAAGCACTGGTATATACCCTTTCAATCGCGATATTTTTACTGATGCAGATTTTGCAGCTGCAACTTTGAAAGACCGAGAAGTCGTTGGCGTTGATCGTAATGAACCAGGACAGTCCTCAAAATGCACGGATCCACTGACCCCAGGCTGTAGTACTGAAAATCGTTGCACTCCTAAACCGAGGGTTAATGAATCAGCGTTTCAGTTACAGAAAACGGGCAACCCAGATCCCGACTTATCAAATTCTTGCTCGTCGTACGTATCGCCAAGCGAGATTCAAAAAATCCCAAAAGCTCCACAAAGAAAGACCAAGCGCTCCCGAAAAAAAGGAAAGACAAAGATTTTAACATCCACGCCTGTATTAAAAGAGATTTCCCTAGAGAATGAAAAAAGGAAGAAAAATAAGATATGCAGTTCGAGAAAAAAACTTTTCGCTACAAAAAATAGGAAAATTCGCCCCCACAATACTAGCAATAGTTCAGAAGAGGAGTGTGCTGTTGTTAGATATGATGATACGACTGATGAAGATGAATTATCTGCAGAAGAAATCAGGGAAGGTGATTACGTGGTTGTCAAAGTAGACGGGAGATCTAGAAATGTACATTACATCGCTCGTATAGATTTGCTAGAAGATAATGAGTATGAGGGAGTTTTTCTAAAGAAAGTTTCTAGTCGAGTTTCTGTCGAAGCAGAGCACACTGGTTTTGTATTTGTTCCAAATGAAGATGATGGGGCTTCATTCTCGCATGAGGACATAATATGCAGACTACCTCAGCCAACAATTCTTGCAGGATCAGCTCGGAGATGTGTTCGACTTAAATTTGATTGCGATTTGAGTAAATGGAATGTAAATTAGAGGTTGTCTACCACCATCCAGCAAACCATTTCGTTCTTTTGAAACAAGTTATAAGTGATATTTGTGCCTCGTTCCATTTCATTTTTGGAGTAATTGCCTGCTTTTAAAAACTTTATGCAGAGTGTATCAACAAAACTACCACTGCGCATCAAGTAACCTTACCAGGCAGGATATTTGATACGTTTGACAAGAAAACTTTAGCGACTGTAAGCGCTAAGTTAGGAAATGACTGAGAGCCCCATTTTGTGGTCATATGTGAGGGACCTATAAATGAATAAATAGGACAAACCAGAACGGCAATTATTCGAACGGTATTTTTTATGGATCAGTAAAACTAAATTATGTATCAACTTACCTGCCTCTCCCCTATAGCCTGTTTTGAAAAATGGAGCTTAGGGCATATAGATTCGCAATATTTATTACTGGTTATGTAGGGTGACCATATTTCCAAACCCCAAATGGAGGACACATCATTCGGTAGAACCATGTTTTACCCGTGCCTGATATATATACAATAAATATCTACCAAATATCTAGGCTTAAATATGGAAGTGACAATAGACGATGTGCAAGTGACGACAATGCAATAATGCATTTTTGTCTTGTCAACATGCAACTGTAAGCTAATCTTGCCTTCATTCACCTCAGAAATGAAAGTATCGTATCCGCAAGTAATGCACTCCGCTTCGCCATTAGTTTTATCTTTTCTGAGGCATGGATACTTCTGCTTTTATTCTTGTGGAAAATGGGTTTTTACTGGGTCTACTGACGAAATTTTCTGCCAAAATCGAAACTTCATTAAATTGCGAAATACAAATGAAATGACGTAAAAAATAATTGCAGAACAACACGATTTTTCGTGATAAACGGCTATGCATAACAAGTATGCATTTAACCTAGGGCAGTGCTTCTTAAGTTTTGCGGGTCCGCCGAACCTCTCCACTATTGTGCAAGCTCCCGTCAAAGGTTTAAACTAGGATCTCAATCAGTACTTCACAAAGGGGAATCTAATTTTCTGCAAGGTTATATAAAATGATCATTGTGGTGTAACCTTAAAATTAGATACTAACTAATACGATGTGTGTGTAAATAGTGATTGTTGTGTCACAATGGTGTCTTTTGTTGTATAAAAGTTGCATTTTGGAGATTCGAAAGATGATATGATACCTCAAAAATGTTGGTAGCTCAAGTCATTCGTGTCCAAAACTTCAAACTGCATCTGAATGCGGATTGAAACGTTTTTTTTTTCACGGATTTTTGCCGAAATTGACATAGCCTACATTATGAACTAGCGCCATTTTGATATGAGTTTTAATGAAATGTACTGAATTCAAGATTTAACGGTCATTGACATGTCCAGTAAAACATATATCTGCGCGAAGCTACACCCGGCTGAGCCATTTCACGAGTTGTTTAAACGTGTAAGATTGTATATCTTCGATGGACTATCGTAATTTTAATATTTTTTCTTAACTAGTAAGCTGGGTACAGAAAAGATTTTATTATATATGACTATTGTAGAGAACCTCAGGGCTAGGCGAACCTCTGGAACAGCTCCTCCAAGTGTCTACTTACTTTGGAATTTTCTTAACACATCAAGAACTGTTGAGTATATCATAAGATAATTTTGAATATTTAATCCCGCGAAAAAAGGAGGACATTTTGACTTTTTAGAGCGTCCTCGGAGGACACAAAATTTTCAACGAAAAAGGAGGACAAATCCTCCAAAAGGAGGACGTATGGTCACCCTAGGTTATGGCAACATTCAATACCCCAATAGACGACGTCCTTGATCTTCGGGTGCCAGTCTGCTTCTGGTTTTAGATTTTGGTCGTCGTAAAAGTTGGAAACCGATGCCGAGTATTGTACCCCGCGAAATCCTCGATCTTCCTGCAAAATGAATTTCCCTTATATTATTATCAAGGTTTGGGTATCTCAAATATCGAAATACCCTCTATCGGTGTAATTGAATATTTCAATCAAGTTTGAAAATTGGCTAGCATTACTAATTCAGATTTACCTTCCCGTCCCCGACTCCGAAAATCAAGTCGCATGTTCTGCGTGCATTTGCCAGTCTGTTGATAGCGTCATCGAGCGTGTAATCAAATTGAAGAATATCCCTCAAGATGTACTGAAATTTCAAGTATTGATTAAAGGTTTAAAATTAGCTGCGAGCATTCGGATAAACTTGGATGTCGTATTGTGGACGCGACTTTACAACTTTCGCTTGCTTGTAAGAGAAATAGAATCTGATTTTTGTGCATGTTTGTATCAGGGTCAAACACATTAACAAAGCTTCACTTGCAGTATTAATTTTGTAAGACAAGCAGTCACGTCTGTAAAAATAATACATTTCTCTTTCTAGTAGAGAGATACATTCGAATTTCGCCTGCGAGAATTCCTATACAGTATTATATCAAGGTTTATTTTAAATACCAGGAGTAAATGTTCGGGAGAAAAGTGCAATCGTTGTGTATGCATACAAAAGATGTTTAACAATCTTAAATAAATATAGGCCTACTTACAGTGAATGGGATACCAAATCTAGACTCTTTTCCGAATGTTTCGTCCGGAAACGAAGCGCCTATTTCCGAAATTGCCATCTGTGCGGAGGACATTCCAGTTATAGAACCCAACCATCCTTAGGAATGAAATATTTGTAGCAGTCAAACATCTATTAGCCTACTTGAATAGTTGTTACAATGAATTGTATTTCATTCGGATCTGCTTAAAGCAATGATTCTCCGGCGTCTTATGCATAATAATAGGTATATATAATATGCCGGTACGTCTCTCTCTATTCCCATTCACGTTTACCTGTAAATCCAATATTGACGAACGCATTTGCTTTCATGCCACCGGGACCCGTCCCATTCGTTGATGGATGATAAACTGTCAACTGAGGGTAATCCTTGAAAGGACCTTGGAAGAAATGTTAAGGTTTATAAAAAAATTCTGAGCATTGAACTATATCAGAGCTTGCATTTACCACGCACGCAAACGATATTAATACATCATACAGAGACTTTGTCTTATTAATCCTATACAATTAGAAAACAAAGTATAAATATATTCATTTGGCACATTATTGTGGAATTTCGTCCTACTTATTCAGAATCGCATTCTCATCGCCGACTGAAGAAAATTCCGGCAGCGTAGCCAACCCATGAACAAGTGGTCGTCAGAAAACCACCCGGCAGGTGGCGTATTAATGATGTGGAAAAACGGATTAAGTATGGCTCTCACCGTCTGTATCCCAATCCAATGCTCTAAATTGCAATACTTTGATTGGGTCAGCAACAGCATCACCCCATGCTCCCATCATCGAACAACTTCCCTTGGTTAATTCACCAAGCATATGTATTCTCTGAATTTTCTAACACAACGAAATGCATAATGTTATAGTCGTTTCAAAGTTCACGAACTGTACTACAAGTCAACTTGGAAACCGCGCCTAGTGTTACTAGGTACAACAGAGCTTGGTGAATATAGCCAACTATGCTCAGAATAAAGGATGGGATGCGACCAACTCAGAATACACAGCATATTAAGTTTTTAGTTCGAAATTTATGATCTGATACAGCAAATTGTTTCACATTGTTCAGATTTCGCTTGTTTTTTTATGAGGAATGGCGTACCTTTCCTATGAATAATACAATTATTTATATTGTTGGTAAGGTGGTCATAGAGTTGAAATCTGTGATTTTCGACATCAAAACTATTTGGCCCAACTTGTTAACCATTGGTTATCGAGTCCACGATGTAAAACAATTTTTTTCTTCATGCAGTAATATTTGAAAATTGGCGTGTTCGACAGAAACCCTGGCCTCTTCACTTCGGCATCTGTACTATAAGTTGCTTGCAGTTATACTGCACTTTTGACTTTAATGGACTCTGCGCTATAACATTTTATTCAAACAAAGCCGAATCGTAAGATCACGTTTCAGAAAGTTCATTCAAGGATACAACCAGAATTCGGGGAATTCGATATTACAACGTCACGTTTAAGTGATACCAATTCTTAGATCCTCGCCAATATGGTGCGATGGTAAACGTAAGCAAGGTTGGTGATGATGTGAATTGAATGGAAATATGAAATGTAATCAACGTAAATGTCCAAAACGACTTCAAGGAAGGAAGATCGATTGTTCTGATGCCCGTAGGAATGAACTGCTACTCGCCTGACCTCCATATTCCTAAACTTTACAGGTGTTTATAGAATAGCTATAGGGTAGGAATACAATACACACAACGTATTTTAACTATAAAAAATCTTCTAGTTATGAATTTGTCTCAAAAAATATATATAAAAAAGCTATACTAAATACCTTGTAATCAACTTCACAAGCATCTGCCAATCCTTTGATCTCTTCCAAAAAGTAATCTCCAGTGTATTTCGATGTAACCAATATTTCTAAATCCAAGGCCACTTCGACTCTGGATAAAAAATTAGACAAATTTTGACGATAAAGGTAATAAAATACGGACGCTTTTGGAAATCAATCATTTTATGTGGAATATCAACCAATTTCAAATATCAGTTGTGACAATATTCAAACATGAATCTGAAATATAGAATGCAATGCATTCCTCGTTTTGGAAAACCATATTAATATTTGACATTATCACCTGTTCGAATCAAGTTAATTACGCATGCTAATTTGTTTAAAATATTGCATTTTTATCTATTCGCACACAACAGTATCTACGCTTGTATATACCAATCGATAATTTATGTATATTATTAATCGAAACGTTCTAGCCAATCACATCGATAACCATGACACGCCCATAGACGAATAGGTAACGTATTTTATTCTTCCACTAACAGTACCGGCTTTTAATTGTTCTAATTTTACCCGAGGTTAGCGACGTCCTTCAAAAACCACTCATGGAATTTCCATATTCCTGTCCCGTTGATACCTTGAACCTGAAACGAGGAATCAATTCAAAGTTTAAATTGGAAATAAACATGTCCTTTAGTAGTTTAGTTTTCTATGTAAACAAATTTTCAAGAATAATTCATAAAGCAAATTTTCATTTTTAATAAAAAATTGTGCGGGATCTGTCAAAAATGGCAATTCATTTTAAAACATTATGTGTCAAAATATGATCTTTCCATTGTACATTGATTTTCTTAAGCAAATTTTTGTTTATTCCGTGTGCTCTGCTAATGTGCTCGAATCGAATATTCGTGCTTACAAAACGCAGTTATTTATGGATAACGGGCAGCCGTTATGCAATCATCTTTTTGCCGACAAACGCTTAGGGAAAAACAGGTTTGGTAAATGGACTGTCCGGCCAAATGGGGGATAGAAATATGCTTTGTTGTTATATACCAGATTTAAAAATTATTTTAAAGTATTGATTCATAAAGATACATTCACATTAATATATTTGATTGCATAATTCACAACGTAATTGAAAATCGAAGTAAAACTGAGCGAGGGATCAATTTTAAGTCACGCGACACTACCAAGCTATGATAAAATTTGAACACGGCAGATTTACGAAGGATCAACAGAAACATAAAAAAATTGATATAATGATTAATAATTGTATTAATCAGTGCATGAATTTGTCGTTTCTCGCGATGACTGTTTCAGTTGTGTATTGCATCATCAAAAGATATTTTCTCCTGAATTTATCGATACCATTTGTAATTCGATAGTATTATTTCCTTCATGGTTTTTCCCTGCATTTATGTTATTTGGCTCCAAAACAGAATTGAAACAAAATTTGATAACTTAGTGTGAATTTTTCGAAATTCCCTTCTATGAATTATATTCATTGGATCTCTTGCGACATATGAGTAGAACAGGATAAATGTGATTATTAGATGTAATTATTATATTGGTAACGGTTTGTTTGCGCGATATACTAAACATATTTTCACGTCGAAAAAATTACGTAGAAATTTTGGTAAGTTAACGAATAGTTTGTTTATTGGCAACTTATTAATCATATGTTTGTCAGTCAGACAAATTTATGCTGATTTGAACACATTGCGTTCATAATACAAATAGTGCTACTTGTTCTTGAATCGATCAGAACGAACCCAACATTTCCGTGTAACTATAGTATAAATAAATTAATTTATGCTCAAGCGGTATCCGCGGTAAACAGTTATTTTCGGTATCCTTGGTGTGAATTTGATTAATTAGAATTGCAATTTTCTCAAATTTGAAGTATAGGTCAATTTTATCTGTAGATGTGCAATCATGTCCCGACTGCAAATAAATCGTTGGCAGAAAATATCAAAATTGATATAACGAGCTTTCAAAATTTTGTTTACCAAATGATTAAAATGTTATCTCGCTAAAATTCAACTTTTTTTCGTTTTTAAATTACTCAACAGCCTAAATTTAGGAGCGTTATCTAATATCTATATATATATATCCGAAAATTGAAATATTATTATAGCTGCAACAATTGCTGGCACTTTCTCCACTTTTTAATATTTGACAGAATGTTTTTGCAACAAATTTTAAGATTACAATATCCAATTTCAGCGATAACTTTAAAATTATCACAATCTTTGGAGAAAGAGTCTTTAAATATCTTGTTGTTGCAAGAGAAATTTTATTATGTTTTCGGTTTATAAAATCATCGTGACTATCGATAACGTTATTTAGATTATTCGATAAACTTTAATTTTACGACGCGTAAAGAATACGCATACGCCTAAAAGTTTTCACCACAGCGCTAATGATTTAATTTGTGGCGAAGTTTTGCAAGGCAAGTGACTAAATTAACTTTTTGTGCAAGAAGGTTAGATTTTGTAGAAATCCATTTTGAAAGACTGGTTCCCAACACCTACAGTTTCCTGTTTTCAACCAGTGTTTGGATTACTATCAACTTTGAGTTAAATGTAAATTGAAACTTGGGCGCTACTATGCAATATTTCCACTGCCTTTCGCCAGCAGGCAGTAGTCCTGATAGCCATCCATGAGCTTATATCACTCACGGTGTGAGAGATTGTAAAATATGTTTTCATGCTGCGTACATGTATTGTTGTAATTACCTATAAAAAGTTGTGTCTACGTTTGATATGAAGTACCTAACTGCTAGATTCAAAGCAAAGGTTATACCTGGTTAAAAATCGTTTTGTACATAATTACAATCCAGGTGTGGTAATTTGCCAACTTCGAATATTACAAAGAGTCACGTACTAAACGCCGCATGTAGACTTTAGCCTTTATTGTTAATCTTAGCTTGCATAAACCTTACCACTTGGTCTTCCATATAGTCCCATACCGCGTTCATGAAAGAGGCGGCTTCTGTTTTCAGCAGGGAACCGTGAGCGTAGCCCATTTCATAGGGAGAGCCTGAAATTTGAACAATAGCTTTGCGTTACCTTATAATTATACTAACTGTGTCTGGCGTATGCGGATGAAACATAATTAACAAATATCTGTTGGAAACGTGGTTTCATGCGAAACTGGCTTATTTTAAAACTTTACATCAAAACGTAAATTACGGGAATTGCGATGCATTAACAGCGGCGGTCAAATTCAAAATTTAGGTTTAAAAACGTCTAAGGTGTATGGGATTGTGAGTTTTTGGCGAACTTTTGAAATTGTAGAATATGAACCCCTCATAAATGCTTGCATGATCGAGGCGTATTATCTTGAACGTTGAATACTATTTACACGTTATACATCTCGGCTATATATTATAACAATCAGCACGATCCCAACCTCGTTATGGAATTCCTAACAGCGTGTAAATAAGCACCATAGGGTCACATAAAACAAGCATTATTTTTATTTAAAATATACATGTTTATGGAAGACGTGATTTTTGTTCTTTGCCTCTGTCTTGTAACCTGCTACGCGGGGATAAGCATACATAATTTATTATTGACGCAATTCATTTTCGTGTTTCCTAATATAAGATTTTGTGGGGGAGACCGATGTTCAGTTCATGTGACCTGAATAACACCAACAAATACCAAATTATTTGTACATAATCTATAATAAGTGATTCATACATTTAAATTTGGCATTTAGGGCTAAATTCTTTAAAGCAGTTTTCTAATGCAGTGGTTCTCAACCGCCGGTCCGCGGCAACGTTGCAGCCGGTCCGCCAAATATCTTTCTAATATTGATATATTATTAAAAGCAAATTGCAAAATACAAAGTATTGACGGCATATTCATTATTTTTATGATTTTTTTCCGAACTCTTATTGATTCGTAGTACCGGTATTCGTCTAACAACCGAACTTGGTTAGAAGTCCTCTGCCCATTTTGAACCCTGAACGGCTGGATGTTTGTTAAGCCTATGGCCTCATAACGGCGGCTAACGTCATAACGGAGGAGTTTGAGAGCACACAGTTAGGTTTTTGGTTTTTATCAATTCTAAAAAACATCCTGTTTTAAAGCAAGGGCCTGTTTTGAATCAATTTTTTTTTTGTATTTCCTTTATTGAAATACCCCTTGCATAGCCGTGAAACTACGCCAGAACGTTGCGTTCTGGCAGCCGCATAAGCTGCCGGAATTATATTTTCAAAAATGTAAGTAAAAATGCTTGTATTGACTTTCACTTCTATTGCGTAGATCTATTGCCAAGTTTGTATTTATACCAAAGTCATACGATTTTAACAGGAATATTTATCCGAGATACCAGAGAGACGTTTCTAGTGAGAAAAATCATGAAACTTATTTAATCAAGGGCAGCCATCCGCAAAACAAGTGCGGTATGATAATGAAGAATATACTTACATCGGCGGCAACCTGATTTATTAAACGACGAGACAGGCTATGCTAATTGCAAGACCCCTCTGATGCAATGATGTCAGGACAAATCTGTTATGACCCCATAATAAGGATTTCGAGTTTCTGTATCGACTTTTTTCTCATAAAATAAACGCATTATTACGGTTAAAACTGTTCGGTTAATTTATGCTTATTTATGTTCTTAAGGTTAAAGTGATAGAGTTTTCCAAAGTTATACAAACTCATTTATTCGGTCGTATTTCAAGTTTGGTTCTCGTCACAGAGTCGTTCACGTAATGTCTTATCTGTTGCGTCTCCTTGCGCCAACCACGTTTGTGGAATCCCTGAACTAAAGCTTGAGAAGGCGTGTATGAGCCTTCATCGATAGCTGTGGCATTTCAAAGGATTTATGGCGAACGGGAAGCGCTTGGCATGTCTTTACATCCATTTTTCCTTAACATATTTAATACAAAAAAAATCGGAACTCCCGAAGTATGTGAACCAAGATGGCGGACAACAGAACGTAGTATGTGTACCAGGTTGGGGTAAGCCATTATTTCAGGTACAACTACTACGGGAGTCACTTGGCTAGTCGTCGAACTTGTAATAGAACTAAAATAGGGAAAATTGGAATAAAGTTATTCCCTAACCCTAACCAGCTACACATATTACGTTCTGGTGTCCGCAGCAGCAAAGTTGATATGGACCTGGTATGATAAAAGTATTTGTAGTTAGGTTTTACTATCGCTCCCAGTAGCGAAAAAGGAAAGCTTCCCATGTGCCAAGTTTGCGCCAAAATTCTTTCAAACCACGAAATGATACCCGCAAAGCCAACGAAAAATATAATATCAAAAAGACAGCAGCAAATTTCTCATTAAATTGGATTGTATTATTTTGCACCGCCTACTTTTGACGTAATTGCATTCTTTTGATTATGTTTTTTGTTAATGACATTTTTGGTTAATTTTGAAGATCTGCCGGTCCGCAAAATTTGTTTTGAAATTTTACCGGTCCGCGAACTGAAAAAGGTTGAGAACCACTGTTCTAATGAGTACAGAACGGGAAGTTTCATATAAGATGAAGTTGAACTGTAGCTATTGGTATGTCCCGTATAGCCTATTCGCCTCTGATTGGGCTTGTTGGAAACTTTAGCCTCGGAAATATGAAGATATTGACCATGTAATTTATATCACTTTACACCTAGATTTGAATTGAATTCAAGAAGTTAAAAGCTGAGGAAACACACATATTCATTTACAAATCTATTTATGTATTAAACTTACCCCATACATGAACAACTTTAAGGGCCGTGTTTGCGTCTCCGACTGTAAAAAGTTTTCCATTTTTCACTTTTGCCACTAATTTCATATCCGCATCTTTAATTGGGAAGGTATTTTCTTTCGCGTTGGGATCTGGCTGTAAAGATTATTTGATCCGAGTATGAAAATATTTCAAACCATTTTTGGTGGTCACACCGTGAAGAATTGGGAATATTATATAGCGTTTACAGTGAAGGGGTCCTTCCATTTTATGTGTGTGACCTGACAAAAGAAAATTTGCTGAAAATTTTGCAATAGTTTCGAAGTTCTGTTACGACCTGTTTCCTGTGTAACATCTGGTTTGTCGATACTCTTCAGCGTATGTTCGTTCTATTCGATTCTTACAGGGAGCATGTTACATATCAGTATAGACTGTTACGAATATAGGTATGTTTTTTAGTTCCCGGCGAACACTGTTGTGAATACTGAATTGCTTAGATTCATTAGTTATTTTGAAGAGGACCATACATTCAAAAGTAAAAATAGCTTACCGAGCCGTGACATTCTGCGGCGAGTGATGCTTTGGTGATAATGGCTAGTACGAACAAGTATTTGCAAAAAGCCATAATCCTTTCTAGAATTAGTTTTGTTATACGTAAAGTAAAAGAATGAATATTAGCCAACAAAATCCTCGAGCACTTGCATTTCAAAATTTCAACATGATTGGTATAAACTTAGTTGTATGACTTTTCATTCTTAGACGAGACTATGTATATTGTATAGTGTATACTACCTCGATTATAACTTGGTGCATTACAACATGGTAGTTTTCCCCCTCTCTCGTTATATAATAACGAAAACTAATATTATTCAAGATATATAGCTGTTACTTAACATAGTTAGCATCCATCTGGAGGAAACGCAGAACATATTTTTCAGACTTCAGGTTTATTCTCTACCTTAACAAAAATTATTAAAAAATGCTGTTTTTGAATAAGCAGTTGCTGTATTATGTAGCAGTTTTCTTGCAAATGCTTTGTCCTGAGTGTTTATTCATTTCAGATCTCGTGATGCACTCATTGGTGGTATGTTTGTTTTGATGCAATTCGTGTTTGCGTTAATTAATGTTTAATCTGATGTATGGGCAATTAGCCTTGAATAAACCTTTAAATAAATTGGACGAGGCTATCTAGAGGTAAAGAAAGCAAATCACACTAATGACAAATCGGACAGATTAAATATTCCGGAACAATAATGTAATTTATAGTAGATTAACCCCTAGAAATTTTTTATATATACCTATATATATATATATATATATAATTTAAATATGGAGCATGTATGTTGTGTGTTCAATATTTGCCCACTAAAATATTTTGATTTCCAATTATTGAAACCTTTTAATTTAGTATTTTATGTGTATACGAAAATTAATATGAAAGTAAAATATAATATGTTCCAAATCGGACTCAATTATTGGATATTTCTAGCTAAAGTGGACCAAAAATGCAAATATTTTTATTAAAATATGCAGCTTTCATTCTTCCCATAATATCGAGCAACATTTGTAGCATATTAACAAACATTTAATTCTGAACTGTGATCCACCCACGGTCCGTACTTGATAAAATGTTCAGATCTCGTTCGCCTTTCTGCCTCAACGAGAGAAACGTCACTCGTGACGTCGGCCATGCATGAGTGAATCACTGAAAGTTTAAATGCCTTCTCTCCTTTTTCGCTGTGAATTTCTCATTTGGCTCGGAGCTGGATTTTTCTGTGGTTTTTGTCTTGTTTATTTTCCGATTTTTTTGTTATTAAATCATTCACTGACGAGTACGACGATAAGGTGAGTGGTTGTAATTCGTTAATTACTAAGTTATCAATATTTGGGGTTACGTAATATGTAAATACTATCCTGCTTTCAATGTATTGTAGTAGCGTAATAACAGAATAGCGATCTCAATGACGCTTCTGGCAAGTCCAGCAGTCTGTTAACCCAGCCAGCTGGTAATGTGATAGATGGGTCAGTTTGTTTTTGATAAATGCTGAAGATATTGGACCCAACAAGTGGCCGTAGTCTATAGCATTAGCTACTGTATTGTGATCAAGCCGTTCAACAGTTCAATGAAGTTTCAGAGTACATGCAGACGTAAGTACAGGAGTAACAGAGTAATGAACTACTGTCAGACCTAATTTTTACTATCCTGTGATTTCTGGCCTGTTTTCTTTGATCCAATTTAGGCTATCTTAGGTTAGAATAAATTAAAACAGGAGGCAGTACTGCCGTAACTTTACTCAACCAAAACATTAAAAAAATGCAATTAATGGTGGAGAGATAACAGGTTGGTGCTGTACCGATATTAGTTTTGGTGTTGTGAGTGTCTGAAAGGTACGGTACCGTACCTCTAGATAAGACTGGTGAAGGATCACCAGTTTCTGTTATATTTTGGGTGTGCCAATATAGTTTTTTGTAGGCGCAAAAGGGTACCTAATGGACTAACATATAGTATTGTTTTAATGACTTTCGAAGCTTTCATTATCATGTCCATAGTTTTGGCTCTGCCATAACAGAGAACTAAATTTCAAATACCAATTTTAAGCCCCTTTCTAAAATAGCCAGACATTTTTAAACTTATTTCCATATATATCCTCATGAATAAACACGAGTGCAGTGTTTTGTACAGATTATTATTATTCCGGCGTTCCCTAACCACAAAGACTGTTTTATCCATTCCAATAGTTATTCTGTAGTTATGTCAATATCACCACCAATCAGTTGTGAGTGTAAATTTAATTTTTATACACTTGTTGACTGATTTTTTGTTTCTCACAAATTTTCAATAAAATGTAAGACCCTTGTACGATGATTGTTCCATTGTTTGGTTGCATTCGGTAGGAATACAACACTAATGGTATATAACTACAGGTATACAAAGACTATAGGGGTGTAATTTCGATCTTTTCAGGGCTCTAATGGCAAGAAAAACACATTAATATTCTCACATTGGCATTTTTATGTGTATAAGTGACATATTTTGGTCATGTTGCACATATGACAAATGCGACAAGTTGGACAACTCACCAGTCCACTAGTAGTCTAGTTGTCTCTGGTGAGTTGGCCGTGTAGTCGAGTTGTGCACCTCCCATCTGTAAACCCATTGCTACTTTTTGACAATTAAAAAGAGTAGCTAGGGTGATGGATAACAAATATCTTGTGAATGATGGAATTCAGTGTTAAAAAAGTTTTTTAATGATAATCCGGTTACTGTAGTTCTTTTTGAGCTCACATTTCCCTGACATTATAATTGCTTATAAAGTATGTTTGTGGGATAAATTTTGCCATTCAGTCTTTTAACTCAGTTTTGATAATCGGTCTTGCTAAAACCTGATGAAGTGTTTTCTCAATGTTGTTTTTTGAACTTTTGGTGATATATTTTAGTTTGGTTTTAAGGACAATATTATTGAATAATAACTCATTTGAAGTGTAAGCAACTGTCTAATTTTTGTCCTGTGTGTTTGTGGATAATATATTAACTCATTTGAAGTTTGAGCAACTTCGTAAATTTTGTCCCATGCGTTTGTGTGTTGTTATTTTCCATCTATACCATTGAGAAGTCAGAAATAATTATCTATTCTCTGACTTTGATGCAAAGTTTGCATTATGAAACAAACCTTTTCGGTTTATACTTCATATTTAGTATCTTTGTGTATTCGTTACTGATTAGAAAATGGAGCATAATGAATTAATACTACTTAGAGACAAGAGATGTGTTGAGGTGAGGTATGACATGCTGATTATCCCTTGGCTTATGTTTTTCGTACTGCAGGATTTGTATGTGACGTGTTTCAAAAGGATGCTTGAATAAAATGTAGTTGAGGGTTTAAAACAACAAGAGCATAATCTCACTCCAAAGTGTCGAAACTGTTTTCTAGCAAAACCTTGGTAAAACTTATATTATGTAGAATGAGATTCTATTATTTTGTAGCTTACTGGCAACTCATGTATTTATCTGTCCCTGTTGATTATTCAAGTTTTGGTGAAACAGGGTAGAGTACAGAAAATGAAGAAATACAGCTTTTATTTGGTTTCTGCGAGACTAACCACTTAGCCTTCTTCTGTGCTTTTGTGCCGGTGCATCCGTATGTAAGTTTTGTTTTTAATGGAGTCTTCCTAAATTAACATGTTCTATTCCAAATGGGCTTCCTTTTTTCCTACTATTAACATGTGTAATTAACGCTAAATTTAACTCGACTAGTTTCTTATATCATATGCCATACTTGTTTAACTTCTTACTTTCAAAGGGGCCAGATGCGACCTACCGATGGTGGTTACGGTTTTAATTGCTGACAATAGCAATGTGACAAGTACCATTCTGCATAGCACTAACTCATTAAACTTTTAATCGCTCGGTATTGTTTTTATTAAATTAAATTCAGCGCGCTCAAAGGCTACGACAAGGGTCACCGAGCGTGGTTGACGACGCGTACGAGGCCGTGACGAAATCACTTTCACGGCTATGCTCGTCGTCATTTGGCGCGCTTTTTAAATTGCAACTGTATCAAAACCTAGCATGCAAATTGCTACCAAGATCTCTCCTTTAGAAATATCTTTCGTCACATTCGAGTCAAACAACATATGGAATGTTGAGATAATCAGCAGTTGGATGTTTAGTAAGGAAAGGCTATTCTAATTCCGCTCTAGAGATGTGCTGAGAGACAGCCGGTCCGCGTCTAGTGTGCAGATTATATACGCGAGTGTCGAACTACGGAGGTATTAATCCATTAATAATAAGTTAATACTACGGGATTATATTTGTCTATCTTGTCTGTTAATCAGACGACGATGACGAACGCCCTTGACTTGAAAGACTCGTTTAGAATGGGCAAACATGTGTGCAATCTTCTCGAAGACACATCTGTCTTTCAAGATTATTGCGTACGTATGATTTATTCGTGCGTATGGTGTGAAATTTTTAAAGTAATTATATATGCTGAACAAGATTGCGAAATGAGTAATATGCAAATTCTTACGTCTGGCAATTCATCTCACTTATTATTTGCTTCTTACGTAGCCTTGGCTGATACACACCTCGAGGACATATGCCGTTTGACGCAATTGCGTATCTATATAGAAGGCCGGGAAAAGGTGTCTACGTTATTAGAAGTTACGTCAAGGTAATGTTGACGTTGCAGGATTGTCCAAATTCACTTATCGGAAAGAATGCTCCGATCGGAATTTATTATGCTAAATATAGAAATCACGAAAAAATCTTAATGTTGACATCGTTTTTAAATTTGACCATGAATTCAGTTTCAAATCACAAGGAGAAAGTAAAACTTCTTATCAATTGCTTCCCCCCGGCCGTGCATTTAAATCATATATATATATATGTCTTGCAACTACTCGCCGCAGTAGATGTTAACAAAATAAATTAAAGATATAGCGCAAAATTGACCCACAAAAAGCGGTAGAATATCTATAACCAAACAGCGCGACGAATGTAACGTGATTTATGCTAAATTTCTCACTTATTCCGAATATGCTACCACTTGATTTTTATTGAATTTTGGGACCTTTTTAATAAAAACTATATTATAACGAAATGTTCTCACACAGTCATTATAAAATATTACATCGTTCGATTAGTTTTACTATCTCATTTTCACTTCATTTGCATTTATTATTAGATAATAAAGATGTTGATGTGAAATTAAAAACATGAATAAATAAATACATGCCGCGTGCGCTGTTGGATCATTGTGTTCAATGCAGATGCCCCATATTACTTTATTATTTGGAAACAATCTTTCCTGTTGGGTGTTCACACTGGTATGAAGACTATTTATTGTTCAGTGTGCCTTTTGAATAATTGGAACAATTGGTTCATTATTTTATTAAACTATTGTGAGATATGCTTACTCGGTGCAACCCCTGCATTTTTGGCGTTCTGATTAGTCGATCAACCACTATCCGTTTTATCTGTTTAAACTTGTATGTCAACGTTATTTTCGTATTGTCTTCTGAGTTGTATTGCCAATCAAACCCGTTTACAATTCACCATAATAGGCTTGGTCATCCATTTGAAATGACACGATTTAAGTATGGCCATTGCTCGCAGATATCTAAACGACCAATGTTGTTTGGAGCTACGATTCGTAAATCGCTATCCTGTGTGAAACAACATTTTGATTGTTTAATTCGTGTGCTTTGCCGCTTTTTGTCGATGAATTGTGAGAAAATGCTTATATGTTATCCCGAATCTTGATGGCATTTGTATAGCGTCGATGTTAATATCACGGAAATGTACATTTTATTGATACAGTTATTTTAGCCTACGGTTCTCCCGCCTCTATGATCGACGTTTGTTGAATGTCGCACGATTTTAGCGATATTTAGTTGTTATATAGTGTTAATGGTATATCTAGTGCCGACAAGAGTAGTAGCGAAATTCAAAAGATTCTATTTATGTATTTTTACTGGAAACCTTCGATTGCCTTCCAAAAACCAAAGATTTTTTTTCTGGAAAGATGTTCGAACGCGTTCCAAACTGTTAGGCTTAATTTCAAGCGTATTCCTATTTTAAAAGTGTGCAAAAGGTACTCCCAAAATAGGGGAGGTTTTCACAAATATCGCTTTACCGTTTTTAATAGAGGTCGAGCATGAAATATATACAATAATCGCAAATAATTTGCCATGTTTCTAATTAAATTCGTTGTTTATAGATGAATGGTCTATATTTGGAATTGAGGCGTCAGGTTTTCGGGAGATGTATCAAACCATTGATAATATATCTACGTCGGTAAAATTTATGAAGTTAGATATTAACCTTCTGTTTGTAGCTTTTG